TTTTTTTTATTTTATTTTTCCCTTGGAGCGGTGCCAGGGTGCTGGCCGAGGGTTTGATCCCGGCAGGGCACCCCTGAGAGCCCGGTTAATTAATTTATAATCCAAAATCCGCTTCTGAGAAGGTGCTGACAGAGCAGCGCAGTCACATACCGTGTCTCTAAATACCAACGCTGCCGCCTCTGCATCCCGGCACGTCCACGGGCTCTGTCTCTGGAGTGCAGCGAACCTCCCGGTGTGGGCTGTGCCGTTCTTGAAAATCCTCTATAAAAACGGTACCTTGCTCGGTTACCCCGTTACCTGGTGCCAGCTGGACTGCCGTCGGGGAGCGAGCGCACGTTCGTTGGTGCGCTGCAATCACTCCGGCTTGCGCTCACATCACTGAGCTGCCGGGGTTGCTTCATCCCCGGACTCGCCCAAAGGAAAATCCGGCTGTTAATGGAAAAAGATAATTTATTGTGTCGTATTGCTAAATTCCTAACGTTGGGAAAAGAGGCATTATTTAGTTGAAGAAAACTTAAAACCAGAGTCTCGCAGCTCTAATGGGCCCCCTCCCAGGCGAGCTCCTGCTCCCGCTCTGGCGTTGATGGGAGCAACTTAACTCGGCTAATTGAATGCAAAAGGTTTCGGAGGCAGCTGCAAAGCTGTTTGGGTTTCAATGGCCAAGGGTTTTTTTTTAAACAGTCATCCAAAAGCTCCCCAAAAATCTCCGCTAAAGCATCACTTTTCAGGTCTTACAGTGCAGATTTTGCCTCTGGGATTAGCAGTTAAATCCAGTTTAGGGCAGGAACTTCTCCCCCTCGGGCGCTGCAGCCTCGGGGCAGGTCGCAGCTGCCTTGCCTGGAGCTTCCTTCCAGGCAGGACTGACGGCAGGACGGAAGGCAGGACCGAAGGCAAGCCCCGACACGGACACCGCTCTCATTTGGGCTCTTGCCCTTCCCACCTTTTCCCGTGGCACCGCCGGGCCGGGCCGGCGAGGTCGCGGCTGCTGCCGGCTGCTGCCCTGCTGGAGATGCCACAGCTGGGATCAGCGCTGGGGCCACGGGGCATCGCTGTCTCCAAGAGCGGCTCGTGGCGCCTGGAGCCCGGCTCGGGCGGTGGGGACGGAGGGTGGCTGGCTTGGCGCTGCCACGGGGCTACGAAATGGCCTCTGGGGCTCGTGCAACTCTGGGCTGCCTGCCTGCCTTGCCAGGAGCATCCCGGGGAGCGAACCTCCCGTTACGGCTGTGCCAATGCTGCTTCTCTCCCTCCCGCAGCTGCAATCCGGTGACTTCGCCGTGCTGAAGCGGCTGGTGCCGTTGCTGGAGGAGCTCTCCCGCACCTATCCCGAGCCCCTCACCCAGGAGCTGGCCACGGACCTGCGCATCACCATCTGCACCCACGGGGCCTTCTCCCCTGGGACGGTGGGTGCTGCTGCCGACAGCGTGCTGGGGAAGAAGCCGGGGACAGGAGCGCAGAGCCCTGCTGGCAACCCTGGTGGAACCCCATGCCCGGGGGGCGGCTGGGCACCATCGCGGCACGGCCGCAGCAGCCCCTCGGCTCCCAGTGAGAGGAGCGAAGAGCAAAGTGCGAGCCATGAGACCGGCACTGCGGGTCCCGCTCCAGCCCCGTGTGCCGACAGCCCGGCCCCGGCTGGGCTCCAGGAGCTCCTGGTATCGGCCTACGACTGCCAGCCCCCTGGCCGGGCAGCCGCCCTGCGCCGCCTCTCCAGCCTGATCATGCAGCGGGATCCGGAGGCGCTTCGGCTTCAGGAGAAAATCCTCCAGGTACCAGGCTCTCGCCGCAGTCCCTGTCCTGCGCCGCGGCACAGAGCTGGGGCTGAGCGTGCCGGCGGGCTGGGGGCAGGCTGGGGACGGTCCATGTTATCGGAGCCCTCCAACCTTGCTGTC